AAATAATGTGAAATTAGAAAAAATGTAGGTCTTTCAGACTAATACACACAATCCAGAAATATTGAAATGCAAACTGTTGCAAATTAATCCCCCTTTATTGCATGTTTTTTTTTTTTAATTCAAATGGCTGCTAAAACAAATCCTTTAAAAAACCCAGCTTTGTATCAGATGGAACCTGCTGAAGGCATTTAAATACATGCAATTTTCTGCATTTAGCAAATGTGCAGCACAAGGTGTGTCAGCTTGAGTCTGGTTTGTTACTACAGTCACAATTTTTCAGCTCAGGCTAAATGAAGACAAGCCATGACATTTACAGAAGCAGTGTAACCAAACAGGAAACAATGCATCACTGAAACTTTTTGTAATGTGATTATTTTTTGATGGTAGAGTTAGTTAAAAGCTCATTCACCTTCAAATGTACGATTTTTTCGCAAAGCTGCGATATTTATACAAATAATTTCAAGGGTCATCATCCTGCATCACAACAGCAAGACCAAAAGACAACAATCTTAGAGATGAAATGATTGCCTCATATCAGACTGGAAAGACCCATAAACTATTTGAAGTCCAGGAAAACATGTCAATCCCAACACATATACAGATCATGCAACACAAAAAGCTCCATCCTGGACTCAAGGTTACATCAGCCTAATTAGACAAAGACACACTACTGTAAGGTGACAGTTTGGGCTTCATTGAGGCAGGATGAGCCTCTACAAACACCAATGTACTCCAGAGTCAAACAATCATCCCAAACAAAGCAGCACATCTGCAACAGACAAGAGAACCGTCTTTCCATAATGCTGGAAAAAAACTGGAAGAAGCTTCAAAAACAAAAGCTGAGCAACTTTTTATCAATAGGAACTTTATAAACGCTGTCTGAAACATGCACATGCTTCAACTAAGATATATAAGGTCATTTTTATCCTGTGTCTTTGTCTCAGTATTGTGTATACTGTTTTATGACCTCAACTATGTTGTTAATGTTTGTGGTTTACTGGAAAAAAGTGCAGCTTGATCTTCCAACATGTTCTTCCCTCCCTGCCAGGTCATTAGTGTAAATAAGAATTTGTTCTTAATCACTCACCTGGTTAAATACAAAAAAAGGGTAAATAAAAGAAAAAACATGACTGATGCAGTCAAAGTCCAGACTTTCTTAAACTACTGAGTTATTGACACATACACTGCCTCAAAATCCAGGCTTTATTTTGATGAACAAAACTGATGATTAATAAACTTTATTTATTACTAGGTCACTATGAGAAGGTTTTTGAAAAACTATTGCGATATCTTCAACAAATATAATAGTAATAGTGACATACCAATGAAAGTATTCAAACTCAAAAGATTGATTAAAAAATATTAATCATTTAGATTAGACAGAGAGAACAGGCAAAAGTGAAAGGAAGTGCAAACCAAAAATGTTTGCAGCATTTTTCAATGATATTCAAGGGGAACATCTCTTTATTGATTATTGTCCAATGGGAAATTATCAAGCTCATTTTAATTTATCATGCAGTAAACTGATTTATGATATTATATATTGTGCCTTATGCAACAATAAGCATTTCTGGTGGATTCTCTTTTAAAAACAAATCTTGCAACATTGAGGACAAAATGGACAGCAGTCTGCTCTTATCTGACTGTCCACACCCTCTCCACCTCCACCCTATCTCCTCCCTCCATCTGAAACCTATCCCCGTCTGTCTCCTTCTGCTCTTTTCCACTTCCTCCAACATATTCTGCACTCATCCAGCCTGAGGTAATGGCTGCTGTTGCGTGCCTGCGACTGAAACATTGGCTTATTAATCCTCACGCCCTGCATCATATATGCTCTGATAATAACAGGTTATGGTCATAAAACCTATCAACTTCAATATTCAGTTAGAAAGCGACTTGCTTGCGCCAGCTAAAAAGCGTTCTCAGGGTGATGTACAGACAGTACTTATGATTATATTTAATTAGCACACATCAATAATGAGGTGCAAGATGTTAACAGGCGAGCAGATAGAATGATAACAAGAAGGGGGAATTTTAAGCTGGTGTAAGAAATAGTGTTTGAGTGATCCACTTTGATTCCTTTGGGACAGGGCAAATGTCTATAAAAGGTGACCTATTATGCTTCCTTGAACAGGGAGGGTAGGTCTAGGGACAACACAAAACATTGTTGGTTATATTTTTGCGTAAAATCAATTGTAGCTGATGAGATTTTAGTCTGATCAGTTCAGCCGATTCTGAGCTCCTTTCAGATCAAGTTGTTTTAGGGCCTCTTGTCACTTTAAATCCAAATAAACTGTAGCTGGTCACACCCTCCAACTCAACGTTTACACTCGCACGTAAAAATGGATGCAAACACATACGCTATTATACAACCGTACTAGTTTGAAAAGGAGAAGTAGAGCCTTCTCCACAACCAAGAAGAATGCAGAAAGTAGTTTCTGGATGGTAAATCAACAACAAAAACACTTATCTTTTTCAGCAGCCATTGTACAGCGCATACAGCAGAAAACTAGCTGATTAAACACGCAGGAGTTCAGCTTGGGTTGCTAAGTTACTGGTTGGGCTTTGCTGCTAATTTGTGAAGTTCTTTTCCTTAAGTTTTTGAAATGGTTAATTTTCCAGACACCAAAACAAACTTATTTTCAAAAAATGTTGAAGTGTTTTTAAGAACTTGTGCTGTTTTCAGAAGCAGTAGAATCCAAATAGAAGTACAAATTAAATGAAAAATCAAATAGTTTGTTTTATGTTTTCTTGTTTTCAATGTTCTGATCGAGGCTGAATGTTCCAGGTGGTTAAAACTCAAGCTAAAGGGGGAAAAACAAGTTTCCAGGGAGTTTTTAAACTTGCTGTTACCTTAATAAGCTCGTGAAAGGATTTGGGTGAGTTTCTTTAGAGGTTTTGAAGGGTTTCAAGTGGATCTTTATAGAACATCTTTACCTTGTTTGCCACTTTGAGGGCAGAAAGCAGTTTGAAGCTCAGCATAGTCAGTCGAGCTCTCATCAGAGTTTACACTGGTGAAGTAAAAGAAAAACTGACTCAAATTTTAAACTTTGCAAACAAATGATGTGGTTAGGGTGTGTTTCTTTCACATATGGCTCCTGGCCAAAGCCAAAATGTTTTTAAAAAATAACGATCTTGTAAAGGCTGTCCACATTTTTATAACTTTGAGGCTGTGCTTAACATTCAGTTTAGGATTGATTTTAAACTTTAGATTCTGGAATAAACGTCCGCTAGAAATAAGAATGACCTCTGACCTAGAACTGACATCTGACATTTTTTATTGTTCGACTGTCACTTCTGTTTTTAACTTAATGGTTATTGTAAAGAGCAATACAAATAAATGCATTATTATTATTATTATTATTATTATTATTAAATAGCAGCATCCCTATGACGCAGTTGCAATCAGTATTTGCAGATATTTCTGTGGAAGGTAATTCCAGATGATTTGTGAGAAATTTGCCTGTTCACAGATGTTCTTTCCATTGAGCACATCTAAAATATTCAAAAAGAAAAAATTCCTTCACTACTGTGAATCATAAGCATCTACTGTATTGATTTTTCAAGTTAATTTTTATTTTCTTAAAATAAATTTTACAAAATAAGGAATAGTAACCCACATGATATGAGATAATTAGTGAGTCCAGGTCTGTAATGTGGTCATTTTGATTAATTAATTACACAGATTGTAATGCATTAAACATTTGATTTAATCACAATTTGTTTTTCACATGCAAAAGTTCTTAGCGGAACCTTTGTATTATGTTTCTGGTGTGCCTGTAGATCTGACGCACACAAGACATTTGCAAAGAAAACTGCTTCTCTTGGCCCACTAGGGGTTAAGTTTGCTTCAAAAAATGATTTGATGAGGCATTGGAAAGACTACTGTTGTGTTGAAGTTGTGCTAAAAGGAGTTGGCCTATCAGCAACATTATCCATCCATCCATCCTTCATCCTACATGCTTATCCCTAGTTGAGTAGGAGGAGTGCTGGTGCCCATCTCCAGCAGCAGGGTACACCCTGGACAGGTTGACAGTTCAGCAAAGTTATTCAAGCCTAAAATAGCATCTCAATGCTAAACATGATGCTCCAGCACAGACGTCCCAGTGCTAAAAATGATCAGGGGTTCCTGAAACACGGGAAAGCTAAATGGGCATAATAGGACTATGCACCAATCTGATTCAGAAATAATCTAAATAACAGATTAAAAGCAATAAATATCTTGATTGTTGACCTCATTTGTCTATTTATTCTATTTATTAGCCAAATGGGTTTTTTAAATGAAACTGTTGCTCATTCTGTCAAAAATTAATTACAGACTCGGCAATTAACTCGATTTATCTCAATGCCATCCCACCACTAAAAATCACACCAAACGTATGCCTTACCATCATCTTGTTAACGACACCCTTCAGTGCAGAAGTATATAGAGCAGCAAGAAGACTCAAGAGAAGCAGAAATAAGAGTAAAACTAAAAGCTTCAACAGAACAGAATAAAGGAGAATCTGGTCTATGATGAGGACTCACCATGTTGAATTCATGAATAAATGGTCAGAAATCAACTGAGAGCAGATGGGGTACTGTCTCTCTGAACCTTCTGGTTTCGTATAAAGAAATAAACTTTCTAATAATGGAATAAACTTTCTAATAATGATTTTTTTAGACAAAAAGTAAACCTAACTGCTTTCACTCAGAGTCTTGTAGATCTGATGAATCTTTACACATTCTGTTTGGATTTTTTTTTAACTGATTTCTAAAGTTAGGAACTTCTAAAGATGTATTTTTAAAAAAGCACAAAATATTGCTTAACTGAGAGCAATAAACCAGAATCTTATCTTAAATCCTGTGAGGACTCAACGGGTTCCAACGCGTCAGAACCTGTAGCCACACCTGCTGACGCCTACCTACGCCCAACTGATTTTCCTCCATCACATCTTCTATCCACCAATCATCTCCACCCAAAGCTCCACCTCTCCTTCCTCCCTCCTCCTCTTCCTCACCGTGCACTCCATCTCCTCTGGCTCTGGTTTGATCTGTATTGAGGGCATGTCTCTCCGGCCTTGGGCCTCCTTCTCCTCTTCCGTTTCCTCCTGCTTCACCCTGACGGGGAGCGTCCCCACCTCCTTCGGCTTCTCCTCTTCCTTGTGCGGTGGCCGAGGCCCAGTCGCCAGCTCCTCTTCCTCCTCCTGCTCTCGTCGGGCAGCGGGGGGCGGAGGTGAGGACGGCGGCTGCCGGGTCACGGCGCTCTGCTTGGCCGGGCTCCTCTGCTTCTTTCGGGCACCAGCGGCACTCTTCTTCTGCTTTGGAGTCGACTGGCACTGAGGAAGAGGAGGAGAGGCAGACAATTAGTTAGACGGAGGAAGGTACAAATCATGCAGAAGATGCAGAGGACAGGAAGGTAGAGAGAGGGAGGAGGTAATAAGGAGGAGAGGAAGGGGGAGGGGTCAGAAGAAGGTAAAGAAAAAAGTTTGAAGCCAGAGAAAGAGGGTGAAAAATGGGAGAAAATCAAGAAAAAGGGAAAAAGTAGAAAGGAATCTATAAGCTGGAGTTTAAAGGCAAAAGAGTTGATAACACACTTTACCTCCTCTCTAACAATCAGCCAGAATAGGGCTCACACACTCACACAGTTTGAAAAAAGAGGGGAAAATTAAAGCTAAAGTAAACGAAGAGAGCAGAGAAGAAGAGGCAGAGAAACAAAGGCCTAAATCCTGAGGCTGACACTGAGGGAATGAGAACGAAAGAGAAATAACAGACAGAGCAGGGAGGAGTAGCCGTGAGCTGACCCCTCCCTCCCTTTCAGTGGCAGGCAGGCGGACACACCCTTTTCTGGAAGCCGAGCTGCAACACACACACATTCAGAGAGCGACTGGGGAGTGCCAAGGCAGAGGGACGCAAACACACACACACACACACACACACATTCACGCAGAGAAGCAACACACCCCAGCTCCTCTAGCTTACTCTGCTGTCCATTCCCTCTTTCTTTACAAGTTAAACTATCAGACGATCATCAGCTCTCCCACCAATGATCAGGGAAAAGAAACTTTTGACAAGTAAAGCCCAAAAAGATCAACTTCAAGGGTTTTGAGATAAATAAATGTCTATAGGTTTAGGAAATAGCTGGAGTTTAAAGGGTTTGCTTTTACTTCTACTTCAATAAAGCAAAGTTTCCGCCTTTATTCTGTATTTCTCAACTATATCGCGTGAATACAGTACAAGATACAGATAGTTAAAGTTTCTCCTCAACAAGCTGGGAAAAACGCAGCACAGAAAGGGGAAAAGGAAATAACAAAAAAAAAACCAAGAAGACACAAATTCTCAGAAGACAATTTATGCCACAAAAAATTTGTCCTGAAAGAGCATTCATACCCTTTAAACTTTTTCTAATACCTCTAAAGTATTGTTGAAAGAAAGACAGAGGAAGTCCTGCTTGCCACAAGCCAATGAAGAGAAAACAGCAAGCATGTTAAAGGAGGATTTTTGATCAGATAAGAACAGAATGAAGTTTTTTGGGGATCTACAAAATTTATTTGCTTTAATATAACTCTAGTTCATTTGCCAAGGAAGTCTGATTCGTTGGGGGAGGTATGAATTTTTAATTGAACTCTGATTCGGTTAAAGTGAACTCTGGTGTGGACTGGACAGTGCTCCAAAAGCAGGAAATGGACTAAAGCGTAGGGCATTCTGGGTAAATAAAACCAAAACAAGCACACAAATTTGGCACTAACAGAAGAAATGGCTCATGGTGTTATACAAAAAACAATTTATTATAACCAATAAATTCTGACGCTACTCCATTTTTCTTTACATTTTGTGAAGGAGGAAGTTTTTATGTCGTGACTCTTGGTACAGCACTTGGTACAGGGCGGAACAAATTTGTCAAAGGGTTTGGTTCATTTGACACAGTGTAGTGTAAAAGCAAACAGCAGCAGCTGAAAATATAACAAATGTAGCAATTTTGGTCCCCAATCAAATACTAGACATCATCACAGAGAAACTCAATGCCAGCAGCATCATGCTATGGGGATGCAAAAGACTTGAAACCCTAAACATACAGCTGGAGATCTAAAGTGATGTCCCTGCAGCAAAAGGCCATTCTATAAATTATTGACTCAGGTGAGCAAAATACAAAAGCACACCACACTTTTCAGAATTGTAATCTTTTTGAAAATATAAACCAAATCAATCTTTTTCTTCCATTTCACAAATACACACAATTTTGTGTTGATTAATCAAATAAAAAGTCCAAGCAGTGTGAAGACTAAAAGTACTATAACAACATTCCTTAGAAATGCTCACATCTTTGATCCATACAGTAAAAACATTGTGCCATTTTGGTTGGTGCTGCAGGTCACAACCCCTGCTTGGACTTTTAAAACATGCTGACTTGTCTACCTTCTGTTTCCCTTCCCTATAATTTCAGCTGATGCTTGTGTGAATATAGACCTGGTTTCTGGCTATTAGATGAATAATCTAATGTTGTAAGGTCAGCATGTTCACACATAAACGCTTTGTACAAAAAAGCAAGGCTAAGCTGGTTGCATCTAATGCAAAAATGTTCAATCTGAGTGATCTGCAAAAGCCTCCTAACTTCATATATAGACGCTCATTTGTAAACTAACTTTTCTGGTTGACCAGTTTGCTGTGTTTTTCTCTTGTTCCTGTGAGCTGAGTTTTATGCTGGTATGCTACCCAACCCCAGCAGATTCCATAGTGAGGTGGGGCCTTAAGTTAATCAGGCCGGGTGTGGCTGTAAGCACCGCCCCTCTCACACTCATGCAGAGGACACACACACACACACACACACACACACACACACACACACACACACACACACACACACGTACCCCTCCCCACGTCCATTGTGGCCAGACAGAGCCCCCTCTGTGTCTCTAAACAAAGGTAAATGCAGCTTGATGCTTTACCTTCCCCCCAAACCAACAACACACCCACAAACACATCCACAAACTGGACTTTCATAAATGAAAGAATATTATAGTGTGAAAAACAAATGACTTCTGGGGCAAATGTGTTGGCATTTTGTCCAACGTGACACAGAAAAAGTTATTTCTAAGAAAGTAAAGCATGCTTGTACAGCAACACAACCATGATGTACACATCACTGCAGCACAATGACATGACTTCATCTCCACTAGTATGTGTTTCAGTTCTGCTTCCAGGAAGTTTGAACATGAAGGCAAAAAAGGCTTTAACTCTTTGTGATCAGATATTTTTTTTACCCTTTGCAATTTGTGCAGAGCGTTTGAATCAATATTTTCTAAAAAATGACAAGATTTCCTATGTCAGCAGTCATTTTTTAGTGACTGCTGTCACTAAAAAAAAATCTACCATTCATCATGCCCCAATATGTCCAGTCCTACCAATGACAAGATAAAGCTCCAGCCAGATAATCAAACTATTCCCTATGAGATAAGATCATTTACAGGTTGAAAATTAAACGTTGTATTTCATTCAGCTAATGGTATTAGCTTTATTAGTTAAAGCTAATACCATCTGTGGAACTAATACCAATATCTAACTGCTTTCCATCTTACATTAATCCTTTATGTTTACCTAATCTTATGGCATCCAACTTGCTAAAGCTAATGCTATTTTTTCTACTAATGCTAATTGAATCTTATGTGATCTTGCTAACTGAAAATAATGCTGTCTTAAGCTATCCATGCTGCTAAAGACAATACTACTTTTCTAATTTTTGCTAATGCTATATGTCTAGCTTACATTCATTCTATTCATAAAACTGCAGCTAATAACAGTCTTGCTAGAATATATATATCTATGTAGCTAAATCTTAAACTATCTGTGAAACTAGAGCCATTATCATTCAAATTAATACTAAGGTTATGTATTTAATGCTATCCCTTAAAATTATGCAAAAATTGTCTGCCTGACATCAAATTCTGAAGAAAATATTGAAACTTGTTGAGTTTATTTTTGGATGTAAAAGGTTAAATTAGACATATTGCAATCATTACTGGTTATATCACTTGTTGTGAAAGCTGTGTTGGTGAATATTAATCTACAAGAGGCCATTGCCATATTTGGTGCTGTTTTGTTAGACTTAATTTCAATATGATTAAAAACATAATCTCTAAAAAAAAATAATGAAGTAGCTAATTTTACAAAACATAAAAAAACAGAAGAGTCGAATGTGTGTATTTTTATTTTCATCACACTGTCAGTTTGCTTTGTTGACAAGCAAATCTTTTGATTTTTTTTTAACCCCTTCCATCCACCCTCACACACACACACGCAACTGAGCCTGTTTTGGCAAATAAAATTTAAAGACAGTCTGGAGACTTGGACTGAGGTTTATCTGCTGTCATTTACAAGACACTGAGGGCAACATACAAGTGTCACTACTCGTGTAATGAAAACAGTTTAGAGCTGATCAGGGCAACCCATGCACAATAAAAAGGAACAATTGAAAAGAAGGAAGAGCACCTCTGAATATTAGTCCCTTCAAAAATGTTTTGGATTTAAAAACTGCATAGTGTAAACATAACAGGATCAAATCTGATTTGCTAATAATTCTGGAGTGTTTAACTTAAGTCTGTCTGGCTTTCTGGATGGATGGGGTTAAGTGTTTAATGTGAACATTAAAAGATGAGATTTCAAGTCAGCTGGATGGCGTTTCAGCTTGCAGATCACACACATGTTCTCACTGCAAACAGATCGAAGCAAACACTGAGAATCTTCAGCAAATCCAACTTGATCCACATCTGCCCTCTGACAAGGCAGTAGAGGGGAAGGAGCGCACCGAGGGGGGCCAAGAGCGAGATCTGTGTGTGTGTGCATGAGTGTGAAGACCAGCACTAACGAGTTGTGATAGTGAGAGACCGTGGTAAGTCTATGTGCATGTTGTGTATATAAATGAGGACTGACAAGATGCTTGTGTGTGAAGCCCCCACCCAGGAGAAGGGGGTCCCACTGTGGAGTTCTAGGAATAAAAAACGGGTGGGGTGGGTGTGACCCTGTCAGCCTCTGATTCCACCACAGGAAGTTGGGATGGGGGTTGCTGGGATGAGGAGCATTTCAAGAGGAAAAATAGAGACGCTGCAGATTTTCTTCTCTTCCTTATCTGCCACTTCTTGGCTAAAAAGATCTTTGGTCACTTACAACTATCTTCTCACTGCATGACAAGAGGAATTTTCAACAGCTATCGATACCTAGAGCTGCCGTGCACTTAGAGATTGAGGGCTATTGGCAAGAGTTTTTCATCAGAATGGGGAATTGTAGGGAAGAATTGTTAAAAATTGTGGGTGTCTATGTTGCCCTATCACCTCTGTCCCCTTAG